ATTTAAATGGTAGAAATAAATTGAATATTATTTTTGGATTGATACAAAGTTCTATTGTACCTGTGAGGCTTACCAGTGCCTAATTCAGGATGCTGCAGAGATAAATAAAAACCATGCAAGTAAAGTTCTGAGTGTAGAGCCTGTATGTAAGGAGCATGAAATAAATATCAACTAGATTATTTGTTCAAAAGTATAACAAAGCAGCCCTTAATATGGCACAAAGGAAAAAAACAACTGAGCATGAAATAAGGCTAAAATACACAACACGTAAACAAAGCTTGTTCGATATTCTCCGTGTGTTTGCATGCACACAGACACGCATCCACCTAGGCATTTTCTGATATGGACTTTCTAGGCCGGTACCTCTGTACCCTTCCCATCCTACTACTTTTGTACTGTTCTGGTAACTTAGAACATGCCTGTGTTTCTCAGTCCAAAAAGACATTGGCGAGAGGTCTCAGCCAACAACCAAAAATAAGCATGTATTATCCCCGATGACTCTCTATTCTGTTTCATGGATGATGCTTTAATCTCAACAACTATGATCATGTATGCCATCAATCAGTTTTGCAGTGGCAACATTTCCTCTGTTGCCTAAAGTTCAATCAATAGCTGACTTTGCCACTGCATTCTGACGGCTGATGATTGGAGGACTCATGATATCATGTGCTTCGACTCACCTATGAATAAAAGGCCAGGGCCACTCTGCAGCAACTCTAAAACTTGCACAAAAAAACCAGCAGGAGTTGACAACATGTCCGAGGCTCTAGTTTGATAAGTCACCTCAACATTTTTATATCCCATCAGAGCACCATTCCATTGCTTGGCTGTACTGTTGTGCTCTTACCTTGTGCCACAATGGCAAGAAGAAAATGAGCTTCTGTCTTGGGTAACCCATAATGGCTAACAAATTAAGTATTCCTGTCTTAAATTTATTTTTAGTTTAAGGCAGTTACTCTCAAACTTGAGCATGTCTCAGGATCATCTGAAGGGATTGTTAAAACAAATTGCCGATTGCCACCCACAGAGTCTCAGTAGGTCTGGCGTGGGGCTTGACAATTTTCATTTCCAACAGGTTCCTGGACGATGCTGATGCTGCTGGTCCTAGAACCACACTCAGAGAATCAAAGTAAAGTGGGGTTTAAAGTAAGAAATCTCCCCCAGCCCGTGTGGCTCAGTGTTGAGCATCAACTATGAACCAGGAGTTACCTCATGTTTCTATTCCTGCTCAGGGCATATGATCCCCAGTAGGGGGCGAGCAGGAGGCAGCCAATCAATGATTCTTTCATCATTGATGTTTCTATCTCTCTCTCCCTGTCTGAAATTAATAATATGTATATTAATAAATCTCTTACTTAGTGACAGATTGGGGTGTTACTTTTTTCCTTTGGAAAAACCTTAAAGAAGAAGAAAAAATGAATTCAAATGGTCTGGAAGGGAAAGAATATGTACAATATCAATATGAAGACAAATACTTCAGAAGCCTGGCAGGAAAAAACAGCACTTCTACTTAGAGACCTCACTGGGTAGATGGAGCATATATGAGCACATGGCCATGAATAACAAAGCCAGGATAGGAATTTAAGTTTCATTATGTTCAGCAAATTTCCCTTTCCACAATTCTATGTTGCCTTTCATGTTCAATTACTTTTTTGCCTTTATTCATGAATGCTCAAATGTGGCACAGCTATAACAAGCATTTTAGCACTAAGAATTGCTTTGTTGAGAAGGCAAAAATTTGAATGTTTATAAACTTACCCTTTCAACTGAAAAATACTACTAATACTATGTTATCAATGTTATTGTTTATCAACTAGCCCTGGCCACTCAGAACTCACATACACCTCTGTGCTCTTCAATTTTACATACGATCAGCCAGGTCCATTCAGGCGATTCTTTTCTCTAGAATAACGTCCAAATTATAACTTACGAAAAGGTCATTATAACCGCACACTCTAAATTGTCTTTCCTGTGGTCAAGGACCCAGCAAATAGTCTGTGCTCATAAAACAAAAGGCAGAAATATTAACCCAGATTGCATTGCTACTGAAGTGGGGGAGGGCAGCCTTGGGCTCACTTGAGATGATGGGGGTGTCCAGTCCACTCCAAGATAACTGATCGGGTTGGGGTGGATGTGAGGCTGCCAACCCTCACAGCTGTTGACCTGGACCGGACATTTTGAATTTGTTTTGTAATTAAACCTAGGAATGACCATGAAAAACAACAAGAACAAAAGGCCCCCAAATGAGTGATATTATCAAAAATGTTTTAGTCCTTGATGCTTTAAAAATATTTAAAAATTTTATATGCCTAAGATCTTTTTATTTCTTGATATCATCTGTTTATCCTTTTTAGATTGATTTTTCCTCAGTAAAACATACCATCATGGATAAATATGTAGTGCATACTCTGCAACGGTGGCGTCTCAATGTGCTGCGCTTGAATTTTCGTGGTTGTCCTCTCCGATTGAAAACTTTGCGATTTGTCAGTAAGTATGTTAATTACAACTGTTTCGCTTTCTTGTATTTTAATTAAACAAATGTAAAGAAAAGTAAAAAGAAAATGGAAACCTGGGTTACAGTCTTAGGCCATAAGATTGACAATTACAAGAGTATAAAAAGCTTATAATGTAGTCAGCTCTTACTGGATTGTATATCCTAGGAGTTGGTTCTTTCTCTATTCTAATTGATCACTTTTTGTGTGTGTCTGGCATGTGTTTATCTATATATCATCAATTTATCTCCTAACATAAATAGTAGAAGAACATAGTCTCATTTTAAAAGTTCTAATAATATATAGTAAAATCAAAATTTCTCTCAAACTCATACACTTACTAAAAGATACTCAATCTTATGTTTTCTGTTTTTTAAATATGTATTTACATATCTGTGACTAAAAAGACAGTTAAAATTTTTAACATGAAAGAGGCCATATTAGTTTATATTTTCCTTTGTCTCTTAGGAATATTTTCATGCCAATACTTATAGATCTACCAAATTATTTTATTATTATTATCTTTTAATTTATCTTTATTGTTGAAAGTATTACAGAAGTCCCCTTTCCTGCTCTTCCCCCGCCCACCCCATTAACCCCCTTACACAATGAAATAATTACTCGGCCATAGAAAAGAATGAAATCTTACTATTTGTGATAGCCTGAATGGAACTAGAGGATAGTGTGCTAAGTGAAATAAGTCAGACGAGAAAGACAGATGCCAGACGATTTCACTTATATGTAAAACCTAAAGAACGATATAAATGAACAAACAAAACAAAAACAGATTCATCGATACAGAGAATAGACTGATGGTTGCCAGAGGGGAGGGGGCTTGAGGGACTCAGTGAAAAAGGTGAAGGGATTAAGAAGTACAGATTGGTTATCAACTGTATTTTACTTCCCAAAATAATTATTGGGAAGGAAAGCACAGCATAGGGAATATAGTCAATAATCCTACATAATAAAAGGGTAATATGCTGATTAGACTGGAGGACCTTCCGGATGAAACCGGGGCTGCGAGGGAAGCCGGTGCCGGCAGCCAGGGGAAGGAAGGCCTACTCTTGTACGAATTTTGTGCATTGGGCCTCTAGTGTTCTAATAACTATGCACTGTGCCAGGTGGGTATTGGAAATATCAGGGGGAACACTTTGTGAAGTTTATGACTGTCTGACCACTGTACTTTACACCTAAAACTAATTCAAAATAATATTGGATTTCAACTGTAATAAAACAATAATAAAGCGCACTCTGCAGTCCTGCACAGCAGAGAGGGCTTTCAGTGGTTCTCAACCTTCTGGCCCTTTAAATACAGTTCCTCATGTTGTGACCCAACCATAAAATTATTTTCGTTGCTACTGCATAACTGTAATGTTGCTACTGTTATGAATCGTAATGTAAATATCTGATATGCAGGATGGTCTTAGGCGACCCCTGTGAAAGGGTCATTCGACCTCCAAAGAGGGCGCGACCCACAGGTTGAGAACCGCTGGCTTAGGTGGACCTGAATCCTAGCTCTGCCACCTGTCAGCACTGTGACTTTGTCCAAGTTACCTAAGCCTTGTGTTTCTCATTAGAAAAGGCAGATAATATTACCTATCTCAGAGGACTCTTTTATGAATTAGAAATAGAATATGTGAAGCTCTTAATATAGTGTCTGGCATCTAGCAGGTACTTAAGAAATGCTCATTACTATTTGTCCTATCCCATTTCCTGTGTTTTGGGAATTGGTGCAAGTATCAAATAAGACCAGTTGATAAACATTTTAGGAGTATCTTGATATGAGAAATAAAAATGTATTCAACTCCATGTGAGTAAGAAATCTGTATAAAAAGGAAAAAGTGGGACTTTTAGGAATATGTACATATTTCTTTCATTTTACTTTTCTTTCTAACAGTACAGCTGACTATTAAAATGCAAACTGGCTTGGGGTGCGGGGTGTCGGTGGGCTAGCGGAGGTCAATGGCAGGGGGGAAGGGAGAACATATGCAATTCCTTCAACAATAAAGATTTTTAAAAAATACAAACTGATGGGTCAGGTTCCAGGTATTTCCTCCTTTTTTGGGGGGATCTGTTGCTCTCAGTGAGTTAATTTTAACCTGCAAACCCAAATGATAGGGCCTCTTAGGCACCAGCCCTCTCTCATTTCCTTTGATATAACTTTTTCTTTTTTTGTTTCTGCTTTATCCCAACTCCTGCCCTGAATCCGAATTTCATCCTTTGTTTTATGCTCCTTGAACGATCAGTTTAGCAGGAAGGGCTCAGCCCCTTCCCCTTAACAGATGGCTTCCTAGTCTGAATGCTATTGAAAAACCAGCTCTGTTTTCATTTTCGCTGTATTGACACCTCTTCGGGGCTCATGATTCACACCCTCTGCAGCCCCTCCTCATTTTCTGACCTGCCTCCAACATGATTCTCGGATTCTCTACTGTTGCTCGTGACAATTCTCCTTCAGGTCTAGCTTGGCAGTTTTGCAAGAATCAACGAAGAGTAGCTGAGGATTTGGAATGCACAAGAATCAGAAATGGAAATTTATTCAATGTATAAGCTGACTTATTGAAAACAGGTGGGGGTGGGGACGGGGTGAGGACGGAGGGGAGAGAATGACATTTTATTATTACCAGGCATTTGTATCTTTTCATTTTGATTGTGTTTAGATATGTCTGTGCAGCTATCAAAAGGCATGTAAAAATGAACATTTTAAAAATTATTTTTAAAAGCAGTAAAAACATTTACAACAGGACATTATGAAATTCTAATGTCATTAGAAGCCATCTTCTGCAGGCTACTAGTTTGGAATCATCATCAAAGGCTGTTCAGGCAAACAGGATGAGAGTATTTCCTTGATTACTCTAATAATAAAAAATAATTAAAGAAACCTTCCTTTAGTTGGATAACCCTGCATAAATAGGCAACACAGTTAATCAAAATGTAAACATGTGGTTTTTTTTTGACACCAGTACAGCAAATACATAACTAGTTGCAACTAGAAGAATCTCTAGATTATCCCACTATAGTGATTCTTACACTTTGCTTCTTTGCTGCGTGCTCCCTATGTATTTTTTCCCACTCATCCTCTTCTGTATCCTGGTCAAATGTTTCAGGGTATGCTGGCAATTTGTCTTTGGGACATTCTTCATAGTAACTCCGAACATATTTCCCCACAGACCACCCCTTGTATTCTTCAGGCATTTTGCATTCCAGGCCATTATAGTGGACGTTGTAGTGGTGCTTTAACCAGTAGTAGAGGTAGTGGATGTTGTAGTCACATCTCCAAGGGTTATCTCTGAGCCACAAGAGTTTCAAAAAATACAAGTCTTCTAATACTCCATAGTCAAAGTTTTGCAGGCTGTTGTTCGATAAATCTAACTCTTCTAAATGTGTGAGTCCTAAAAAAGCAGCTAGAAACAAAAAATATTTATTAAACCAATGAGTAATTTATTGGGTTAAATGCAATTGTATGCTGTTTATAAGAACAAATATGTTAAAAAATAAGAGACTTAATTTATCCTGTTGAGAAGAAAATATTTTATCCCCTCCTTTTTCTCAGAGCACATACTTCAGAAAACTTGTAATGCTAAGTACTTTCTCCTCTCTTTGAAGTGTGTACATATCCTTTAGAAGACTAAGGCCTGTTGTCAGTTTTATGAGTCAGAATGTCTTTCTCAAGGACCTGGAGCCCCCCTCCTTGAAATGTAATCATCGAGAAAGATAGCACCCCTCTCTCCCAGTTTCTGTGGGAGGGTAGGAGCCTTGCACCACATTGCAAAACTACCTCTTGTCATAAAGAGAAAAGTTTGTTTTCCTCTTGATAAAGCCAATTCACTAACACAGTTGGTCACCTCAATCACCAGGTGAAGTTAGGATTAACTGTGTGTGACAAATGCTGCTGTCAAGTCCTCTTACTCGAGGACTAGCTGTCACTTATCCTGACACAGGTATGCATTGGATTGTATCTGCTTGGCTATGCAAAATGTGAGAGTTTTTCTGTCTTTGCAATCTCTTAGGGGATTGCCTGTGATGTGCATCGCCGTCTGGTTTAATGCTTTTTTCTTTCTCTACTATTTTTGTGGAGAGGATTTCTGTGTTGGGAGAACATTTTGTGGTGTCCCCCCCCCAATTATTTATTTATTTTTAATCTTTATTGTTGAAAGTATTACATATGTTCCCTTTTTCCCCCATCAACCCCCTCCAGCCCATCCCTGCCCCCCACCCCAGGCCCTCACCTCCCCATTGTCTGCATCCATAGGTTATGCATAAATGCATACGAGGTCTTTGGTTGATTACCTTCCACCCACCCACTCTCCCCCTGCCTTCCAATGAACAAAATAAACAGATGAATGGAGTGGATCCAGAGACATGGAAGCATGGAACAGGGCATTTTGGTTTTAACCGTATTTTCCTAACAGTACATGCATCCAAATGAGAAGTGCTAAAATATATTTTTACTCAAACAAAGCTTTCCCCTGGATTAAATGGACTAGAACACAATATTTTATATGCTTAAAATCAGTTTTAAGTTAGCTTTCTAAAAGATGTATTTTGGGCTCACGTGTATTTTTATGCTCACTGGAAAGATGCCACAAAATCAGCATGAATTAGGAAAATATTTCAAATGTAAGATAAATGCATATAATATAAATGCATAAAACATGAAATTGTCTGGTGATGATTTGAAAGCTCCCTGGGATATCAGTAAACTCTGAAAAATGTCAAAAAACAGCCTTTTCCCAGGTTAGAGGGAGGGAATTATATTCCTGTAGATATTTCTGTAGAGTCTAAAAACAAAACAATTTTATCAACATTTTGAAAACATCTGGTTGTGTTTTGGCAGACTATAGTACTGGGTAGCTATCAGCTTTGAATCAGATGTATTTAATTCTGCTGGGGAATGGATACTTAAAACAAATATCAAAGACATAACACAAAATAAGACAACAAGAAGCTTTATATTTTTTTAAAGTAAACAAATTCAAACCTAGATTATCCCTATTTTAGTTGATGTGGACTGACCCTAAAATTTATACTTCAATCCCAATTTCAAATATTTCTCATTGATTTCAAACATTTTCTTATTGCTGTTTTAAAATACTCTTGTTAGAGCATAAAGTGTTCTTATTTTGAATTTGGAAAACATGTCCTCATACTAATACCATCAAGCATTTTCATATCATTTGTTCTCAGACAACACCCATAATCCCCCCTCAAAAATAACTCTATTTGAGTACAAAGCAAATAATTGGGGGTGTGGGGTGGGGAGAGCAGGCGGTAGAAAGGAGCAAAAGGTCAGCTCTTGTAATCTTTGTTCTGAAGATACTGCATTTTTTTTCTATTTGCTAACATTTGTGAGTCAATGATCTCAACAATTTACTTTTCTTAAAACAAGTCAGCCCTTCAGATTGAAAGCATGTGTAAACATTCCTAGATTTTATTTTGAAAGCACTACAGTTGTTACTGAAACCATCTGAATCCAGGCACGTTGAAAAGCTAGTTTTCATTTGTTTCTTAAGGGAGGTAAAACCCCTAGTAGGTTGTCCTCTTTCCCCTTCTTTACAATAATATCTGTAATTTATGAGATTGTCGTTCACACCTCCTAAAGACTGGCAGATCTTACTGCATTTGTATCCACCAGCACAAGTCGTTATGTAAGCCTACTTTGGCAGGGTTTCATCTCAAAGGCCTCAAAATATAGAAGGTCTTTTATTTTAAAACTCCTTTAGATCATTTAAAGTGCTGAGATACTTTTTTGTTCCAGAAGATATACAAAGAAAAGTGGTTGGCATTTGGTAGGTGTTCAATACACATTTGCTAACGTAGAAAGTACTTTCCTGGGATTGAATTGAACAAAGGAGAAAGAATGCTACTGCTGCATTTTACAGTGTGTGTCAGCAAGGAAAACGCAGTGGCTGAACCACATCACAGGCCCTCAGGAAAGAAATTCCCAGCGATGGAAAAGGAGTCCTCTCAATTATAAGAACTTCGTAACTGATGAGAGGAAAATACCCGTAGAAGTACAACAAACCCATTTTGTACAATTATCTATTTCTGTGTTGTCATCTCTTATTTTTCTCCGGTTTTCTTTATATAATGTAGCTTTATTGTAATTAAAATATTGTTTGCATTATTATGCACTACTTTAATAAATGTAACTTAAAGTCTCTTTTAGAGATAGCTCGAAAACTTGTTTTCATGGGTACTTTTTTATTGTTGTTAATCCTCGCCCGAGGATATTTTTTCCATTGATTTTTAGAGAGAGAGGAAGGGAAGGGGAGAGACAGAGAAACATCGATGTAAGAGACACACATCAATTGGTTGCCTCCCACACTCGTCCCTACTAGGGCTGGGGATGGAGCCTGCAACCGAGGTGTGTGCCCTTGATGGGAATCAGTCCCAGGACCCTTCAGTTCGCAGGCCAACACTCTATCCACTGAGCCAAACCGGCTAGGGCTGCGTGGATACTTTTGATAGTTGGTTAGCCAAGATCAGAAGGAAATTAGACACTTGCCCAGGGACCTGGGACAAGGCATGCTTGTCTCGAGGGTCTTTGGTTCTCCTGGAGCAAAAGAAGGTCCCCACCTCCAGGTCCTTCACCCCGTGGCCTGGCTGGCCTGCACATGAGCATGATTATTGCTTCATTTGGGAGAAGAGTTGTCTCTGTAGCAATCTTACTCACTGTGAAGTGAAAATTGCTTTGACCTCACAATTTAAAGATACTCCCAAGTTTACATTATCTGTACAGACTATATATAAGTGTAGCGTATTGTTGTTCCCTTGAGAAATGTTTTAAAAATTATGGTTTCTTAATATTTTGAAACCATGTTATTAATACTAAAATATACCTGTGTAGTTCTAGAACATTCATTTTCAATTTTCACTTCTATCTTGTTAAAATCTTAATGTTCTATTAATGGCATTAAGTTACCATTAAGAAAAGCAGAAAATTGTGCTCACAATGTTTGACATTAACATTGCACTTTTAATAGTATTAATAACCGTTTTTTATAGATAAGACTTTTCAAATTGAAATAGCACTGTGAAGGCACGTAGAATATGTATGTTACAAATCTGACTAATATTGCAGCAATTCTCAGTTCTTTCTAAATCCATTGTGTAATTCACCACTCTTGTTTTTGCCAGAGGCTTGCTTAGAAAATAGAGAAGAGATTTGAAAGATGGGAAGAACTGATCTTGATCTAGGATTAGATAAAATGTGACTGGCTCTGGTTTGAGGACATTTTATCTTAATTTATGAACGTGGTGCTTAGCAGATTGTTTCAAATTTACTTGAAACAAGTTTTTTTTTTTTAAGTCCTACTTTAAACAAGTTGGAACTTAATGAATAGCAAAGAAAATGCCAAATCTGAATTTCCCTTTAAAAATCACATTTAGAATTTCACTAGCCATATATTCTTTTTTTGTATTCTATAAAACACTCTTATTTGAACTAATTAAACAACTGTTGCTTAGTAATATATAGTATTACATACTTCATAAAACATTTCTGCAAATATTTCTGAGTGCTAAGCAAGTTTTAACCTAATCTAATCTAACTAAACAAGTTCTAATTAAACAAATTCTAAAATAATCACATTTAATTTAAATTCAAACATCGTATTATAAAGTTTTTTGAAAACTAAATTGTATTTACTATAAATGTTGCCATAGGAAGAAAAAATAGACAACACCTGTCACCGGTTAAAAGGGCTAGTCTGTGGAACTTACCAGGATCGATGAATTCGATGCCATTGCTGCTAAGGTTTAATTTCTTTAGCTCATGAACATCTTCAAACTCCTTGGGCCGAAGTAGGTTGATTTTATTGTACGACAAGTCAAGTTTAACAATATCTGGAGGGATATTGTTTGGAACTTTCTTCAGCTCTGGAAACATGAATAATATTCAGGTTATCAAGCCTCCTCTCGCTCCCTTTTGCTCTTACCATTCTTACACCTGTGTGATTGAAGCATCAGCTCTTACAGAGAAAAGGACAGCTCAAGCCAAAGAACGCCCGAAAGAAGAAGCCTTAGCATGTGCCAAATTCTACCAAGGCCTGTGAGCCAAGTGCATGACACTTAAGGAGCCGCTCATTGCCGAGCTGTTCAGAGAAACTTCCTCAAGGCAGCGGCGAGAAATCAAGGGAACAAGAGGCAACACAGCTCAGCTGGCTCAGTCATCAGGGGAAGCCCACGGTGGGTTCAGGCCTCCTGCCCATAGAATCACCCAGGAAGCTTAAAAAAAAAAAAAAAAAAAGCTAAAATGAAACGCAGCAGTTCCAACCTTCTATTTGTGTTTCTACTAGAAATTATTGCCTCTTTGATGCATCTTTATTTTATCCTTCTCCTCAGCCCAACAAATAAGCTCAGGTCTCTCCACCCTAAAAAATCAAACAAACAGCTTGGTGACCCTCAAGCTGTTATCTTATTTCTCCTTTTCTTGGATGCTAACATGCCAGAGAGAGTCGTCCTGACTTGTTGCCTGTGCACCTCATCTCGCACTTATTCTCTGAATTCTTTGATTTAGTTGATGCTCCGTCACTCCCGGACCCTTCCCAGGGACAGCAGTGCCGGAACAATAGTACCAGTAGGTACACCAGCGCCAATGCTGCTGCTACCACAGGCTACGCCTCTGGAAGAGGAGGCCAGGTGATAGGTTAGTAGGAAACCAAGGCTCACCTCGTGTATCTCCTACTCTTCATGTCTGCCTTTAAACCATGCTTTTTCAAAAATATGAAGTGTGTTTATTTCATATTTTAGCATAATGCTTGCCCTTTCTCTTATCCCTTTGGAAAATATTCTGAAGAGATCTTATCCCAAATAAATAAAATCAGAAATGAAAGAGGTGAATTAAGTAGGGCAAGTAAAGTCAGGTTCCTTTTCTGTTCCCACAAAAGGAAACTAGAAGAAACAAGTAAAATGTCCAGATTCATTGATACTTGAGAAATAGCATGGCCCCCAAACTTCCTGAATAAGTAGAGATGCTTTGAACTGGGTGGAGTAAAATAAATGCATGAAAGGTGGTAGCCATTTATCCATAATGCCCCTTTTGGTACAGAATAATTTAATTGTTGATAAATTCTCCCAAATATATATATATATATATATCCCTCTGTTATTTATGATTTCTTAATCCATAGTATAGTTACTTTCAAAAAGACTCAGGCTTATCCCTCCCTCCCCACCTCCCACTTTTTTGTTGTTGTTGTTGTTACTCTTCACCTGAGGATATTTTTTCTATTGCTTTTCAGAGAGAGTGGAAGAGGGAGGGAGGGAGGGGAAGAGAGGGAGAGAGAGAAAGAGAAACATCCACATTAGGGACACAGATGGCCTGGTTGTCTTCCACACCCACCCCACCTGGGGGCAGGAATTGAACCCAGCCCAGGTACCTGTCCTTGACTGGGAATCAAACCCACGACCCTTCGATGCACAGGGTCCAAGCTCTAACAACTGCGCACACCGACCAGGGCTTTCTCTACTTTTAACAGCTCAGAATCCATGGTCTTTAATGGGATGATATTGGTAGTTCTTTCTTTAGTATCCTTTATTTTTCTGTTAAATTTGCTTTCTCTTCTTGATGGGATCTTAGTATCAATGTGTAGGAACTGTTCTAAGTTCTCTAACAAGTATTAAATGACAAGAACCCTACGAGCTAAGCAGCATTATTATCATTCGATTTTTTATTGTCTTTAAAATATTTTTTATTGATTTTTTTTTTTTAGAGAGAAAGAGAAAGGAAGGAAGAGGGAGAGAGAGAGATATAGAAACATCGATGAGAGAGAAAGATCAGAAACATCGATTGGCTGCCTCCTGTATGCACCCCGACCAGTGATCAAACCTGCACCCTGGGCATATGCCCTGACTGGGAACTGAACTGGTGAACTTTTGGTGCATGGGACGACACTCAGCCAACTGACCCACATCAGCCAGGGCATATTATCCTTTTATAGATGAAGAAACTCAGGCACAACTTGCCCACAGTCACATTCCTAGGAATTAAACATAAACATATTCGCCCAGAATCTATGCTTCTAACCACTATGCTCTGCTGCCTATGCATGGCACCTTTCTGTTTCATTGATGTTGTTCCACCTGCTTAGAATCCTCAAGGTTGGCATGAAGAGTGAAATAGGGGTAGGGGAGAAACTGGGGTCAGTCAATATATTGGGATGGCCATGAGACCTTTCTGGCTCTGTACATATTTAAAATAACATCTCCCTGCTTTCAAGTGGGTAATAATAATAATAATACCATCATTCCTTGCTTTTTCTCAACAGTAGTTATCAACTACCCTAGTATACATTTCAGTGATATTTTTTTTTTTATTTCTTACCCCCTCCTCACCATGGAAGCTTCATGAGGAAGGCTTAGAACAATGCCTAATCCTATATAATAAACCCCTAATATGCAAATCTGAATGGCAGAATGACGGGAGGAAGGACCAGTCGCTATGGTGTGCACTGACCACCAGGGGGAAGACGCTCAATGCAGCAGCTGGCCCCTGGTGGTCAGTGCGCTCCCACAGGGGGAGCGCCGCTCAGCCAGAAGCCGGGCTCATGGCTGGTGAGCACAGCAGTGGTGGTAGAAGCCTCTCCCGCCTCCACTGCAGGTGGGTGATAAGGAGCGAGGGTGTCCTGGACTGCGAGAGCCCTGGACTGCGAGAGGGTTGTCTGACTGCCAGCTTAGGCCTGATCCCAGGGGGGACAGACATCTGGCAGGCGGACATCCCCCAAGGGGTCCCAGACTGGAGAGGGCGCAGGACGGGCTGAGGAACTCCCCCTCCCCCTCCAGTGCATGAATTTCATGCACCGGGCCTCTAGTATATCATAAATAAATAAATGGTATGTGGCAGACACCTTTTAAAATGGCACCTAATGATCCCCTCTACTGCTATTCATACCCTTGTGTAAAACCTTCCCCTTGAGTATGTGTTGAACCTAGTGATTTGCTTCTAACAATGCAGCAAATGTGATGGGATGTCCCTTCCATAATTAGGTTACAAAAAATTGTGACTTTTGCTCTGCTATCAGACTCTCTGTTGCTGGCTTTGATGATGAAAGTTGTTATGGTGGAGAGGCTCACATGGCAAGGAATTCAAGGTGGCCTCTGGCCAGTAGCTGGCAAGGAATTCAGGTCCTCAGTCCAACAGCTCTTAAGGAATCAAATTCTGCTAGCAGCCGTATGAGCTTGGAAGGGAATCCTTTCCCAGTTCAGCCTTCAGATGAGATCACAGCCCGGAGCCCTGGTCAACACCTTGATTGCAACCCTGTGAGAGATTATGAGCCAGAGGACCTGGCTGAACCACGTCTGGTTTCCTGACCCACACAAACTGTGAGATAATAAAGTGTGTTGTTTGAAGCCTGGAAGTTTTGGAATAGTTAGGCAGCAATAGATAACTAGCCCTTGGTAAATAATAGGAGCTCATTAATGTTTGTTATGTTTAATGATTCAGGTTATATATTGAGGCCTCTTCTAATAAAAGTACTTTGAAAATTTGGAGTGATTTTATTTCTGTCCTCCAATATGACATGGTTCCGTTTGACCTAGGGCTGTATCTGTCAACATGCTAAAAGGCGAAAGATTTTTAAGAGTTAAACTTATTATAATGGTGCAACAGTAGGGTAAACCTCCCTTTAGGATCAGCAAGACCCTAACTGGAGAGCTATGGTCTCTCTTGGGCACTACATGTAAACAAGGAGATGGAGATCCTGGTGATAATTGGAAACCACAGAGACAATTGAGAACAGACATTAGAAATAATTTCTTGCACCGTGTGCCCATCACGGTGTAATATACAGATCTTGTGCCCTAGCTGGTTTGGCTCAATGGATAGAGCGTCAGCCTGTGGACTGAGGGGTCCCGGGTTCGATTCCGGCCAAGGGCACATGCCTGGGTTGTGGGCTCGACCCCCAGTGGGGGGCGTGCAGGAGGCAGCCAATCAATGATTCTCTCTCATCATTGATGTTTCTCTCTCCCCCTCTCCTTTCCTCTCTAAAATCAATAAAGTATATTAAAAATATATATATACAGATCTTGTAACATAGAAATTCACACCTGAAACATATATGTTCACATTGACCAATGTCACCCCAATGAATTAAAAAAAGAAAATTTCTTGGCATTTAGCATTTGGAATATCTATTGAGAATGGCTGTCACATCTTCTTAGAAGGCTTTTAAAAACAGAATAGAGCTTTAGTTTGAAATCCGGAATCCCACCTCTTCTCACTTCTTCCATTGCTACCACAGTGGCCCATTCCACCATCACCTCTTATCTGGGTCATCCCAACAGTATCCTAAACCTATGTGATCCTGTTAAAATGTTGTAAGTCAGATCATGTCCGTTTTGTCATTTTCCCAGATGACTTCCACCCTCCAGGTGGCAGAATCCTGCAGTGGCTTTCCATCTCACTATGAATAAAAGCCCAAGTCCTCACCAAGGCGCTATCAAGCCATTAAAGGCGGTAGGTCTTCCTTGTCACCAGAGTCAGCATTTTCTAGGTTCTGGAAAGCAGCCTTTGTATCAGGACTGACTTACTGAACCCACATCTGCTGGGCTGAATCTGAGACCACTGGAGGACAAGGGTTAACCACAAATAAATGGGTAGAAAAAATGTTTATGAGAACACCCTGAAACCCCAGCTTAAGCAACGTGGCAGACCTGTGGATGCTGGAAAAGGAACATGAATTGCAGAAACAACTTTGGCATTGTTAGCAGCAGCCATGAGTAAAAACAGGATCCATAAGTAATACCAGGAATTGCAAACCAAACCTTTTACTAGTATGGCTTAGAAAAATCATAGAAAAATTTTATTGCATTGATGAGTATAAACAGCTCTTTAGTTCTTTTGCTTTAAATTTGAATGAGAATTGAAAATATTGGTGTAAAGCATGCGTGTCTTTTTAAATGATTTATTTATTTATTTATTTTTATTGTCTACAGTTTTACATATGTCTCCTTTTTCCCCAATTGACCCCCCTCCCCACCCAGCCATTCCCATTCTAGGCAAGCCTCCACCGCCCCAGTGTCTGTGTCCATTGGTTATGCTAACATGCATGCATACAAATCCTTTGGTTGCTCTCTACCCCTCCCCCCACAACCTACCATTTGTCTCTGGATCTATTCTTGTTCATCAAATTATGTTGTTCATTATATCCCACATATGAGTGAGATCATGTGATATTTATCTTTCTCCGACTGGCTTATTTCGCTTAGCATAACGCTCTCCAGTTCCATCCATGCTGTAAGCATGTTTGTTTTGATAAAGATTACATAAATACAAATTTCCCCAGGCCAGAGGTCAAATTTGGCCAGCGCTCCATTTCTAGACCAGACACCACATGGTTAATTGCTTCCACCTGAAATTCTTCGTAAACCCTCAACAAATACCATATTTACTTGATTATCACCCCTGACAAACCTTGCCTCTTCCCCACCCAAGCCTTGCTGATTTTGAGGAGGAAACTGGGAAGTTTTCTCCATGTAATTTCCCATTTAATAGTCTATCTTGGTTGTCAGCAATGTCAGAACTACTCTGAAGGCTTAGTAGTAGTGGGTAAAGAGACATAAATGGGCCTGTTTATTGCAAATAAAAAAATGTTAATTATTGTTTAAGCCAGTGGTGAAATTAACTTCAGAGGCTCCTGGGGACAATTTATAGGCATAATTCTTCCCAGTCCTAATCTTAGAGGTAAAATGAATCCTTAAAACTGGTAAATTATTCTGGTAAATGTGAAGCTAAAAGGCAGTTTTAAAACTGCTACTTTCATGTATTTTTGGCAAATCAATTTACCTCAATATGGCATAAACATGCCTTTCAACTAATCTTACATTTATTCCCTTTGAAAGACTAACTTTTGTTGGCAAAGTGCCTGTCTCCCAGTGAATAAGGCTATTATTTATTTTTCTTACTGTCAGATGTTTAAGGCAGAAATAGTGATCTTTGAGGTCTATGTGGTCATATTGTGGTCAAACTGGCACATATTAGGGCACCCTACACATACCATCTGACTCATCATCTGTCAGCTGGGAGAGGCACAACTCCTGAGCTAGGGGATCTGTATTCGGGCCCTTGTGTGGTACCATGTGCAGGGTCCACTGTATAGAGCCTAAGGAGGAGGGTTCAAATCCTTATAAATTTTCCTGGTTAACAGATGTACCCAGAACATTGAAGGGAGAGATGACATTGCATAGGGCGCAATGGCGTGGTAACTGTTGGGGACTGCCTGTGTGGCCTTAGGAAGACAACCTAACTTCTCAACACCTCAGTTTCCTCATTTATAAAATGAGGATAATAGTCTTGCTTTTAAGGTTGTGAGCAGTACATGAAGTCATGCATGCAGCTGCTGTCTTAGGCACACCAAGCACTTAGGTGACAGCTCTGGTTCATTAACATCACTGCCAGCTTCACTCTTGGTGGCATGTTTCAGGCTTCTTTAGAGCCTGCATAGTGTCCGACATGTGGTGAAATTACTACATCCTGGCAGGGAGCTCGAGACGAACATGGCAGGACAATTATTCCCAGCATTTGACACATTACCTATTTATGGAACGGGATAAGGAAATACAGTGAATTATATTCAGATTGTCATACTTGAAGTCTAGACATGATTTTTAACTCCTATGTATTTTGATTTTTAAAGTTTACTTAAATTACTGCTTTACCAGCACAAAGAAAGCAGCTTAGTTATTGTCATCCATCTAAAGCACATGCCCTGGGCCAAGCAGCACCAAAAGGCATTTAATAGACAAGATCTTTGCCTTTAAACATACAGACATCAACGATATACTAAAAAATTAAAAATAATGAATAGATTTATATTGATTATATTAAAAGACAAAACTACTCTTCATTTTATCTACATTTTAAATCTAAAAAGTATAGCTTCTGATTTATGTATTTTTTAACATGTGGAGGAACTTGAGTTGTCTTTTAGTGCAATGCCCTATGTTATATATGCTGTGTATGTCATTAAATTTTATTTATATTGTTTCCCAGTAAATAGTATGTGTATTTTTAAAGCAGGGGGAATGAATTTATGAGCATATATGGAAGATTGTATTTAGACAATAAGTGGAGGAAATAAAGCAATAAAAATATATTTGTGTTTTTGTAAGTTTATTTTTGCCAAGAGAAAGACAAAAATATCATGGAAAAAGGACAAGGGCAGAAATAGGCTCATGGGAGTGGGAAAGGCCCAAGAATAGAAAAGCAGTAAAAAACAAATTTCCTAACAAGTTATCTCTTCTTAAATGAAAATGTAATCTAGCTACAGAAGTCTTTAACTTTGTGTTATTGGAATTTTTTTCTCAGATAATTAATAAACTTAACTATACCTATTTACTCTTTACCACCTGATGCACCAAGTGCAAATTAACTTTATTTTGAATATAGAACCTCAGCAATATCAAGTAATTTTTCTAACCCAAGTCTAGGATTAGTAGCTTTGAATTAGTTTTTATTTTATTTTATTAAAAAATATTTTTATTGATTTCAGAGAGGAAGGGAGAGGGAGAGAGAGATAGAAACATCAATGATGAGAGAGAATCATTGATTGGCTGCCTCCTGCATGCCGCCCACTGGGGATCAAGTCTGCAACCTGACATGTGCCCTGACTGGGAATCAGTGACCTCCTGGTTCATAGGTCGATGCTCAACCACTAAGCCACACTCACCTGGCTAGTTTTAAAAAATATTGTTCAAGTTTCTAAGCACTACAAAGGAAACCCTAGTAAAACACACTCCTCAGAATGAAGCACTACTCACCATAACAATATTTGGGAAATTCCACCCAATCTGGCCACAGGGGCACTACATACTAGTATACTGACTTTTCTGGAATTCTCTAATGCTTCCATTGTTCATATAGCTGCTTGCTTGAATATATAATTTTAGAAGACAGCAGGATCAAGACCTCGCTCGGCCAAGTGACTTGACCTCCCTGAGGCTCATTTCCTCAACTGTAAATGGGTAGTCAACTGTGGACAGGACTGTGTGTGGAGTACCTGGAACACAGGAGGTTCTCAATTAATGAACACTCTCTTAAATCCAGGGGACCCCAGAATGGCATCTCCCGGGTTACAATGCTGTAATTGCTCTGCTATAGCATCAAAATGTATACAATTCACAGGGTGTCACAGTAAGCAAACCTTTCCAGGCCACATGGCTGTGATGTGACCCAACCAGGTGCCACCTTCCAGAGTCCAATAGAAGGGGGCAGGGCTTGAGCATGACCTCGCTGACAAATGAACAAACTTCCTGCTGGCTCAGTTTGCCTGTTTCTTCAACGTCAGCAAATTCCTGCCTATGGTTCCCTTGAGAGGAGCCAGAGTCTCTATGTTCTGTGCCTTCCCTTTTAGTTCTTAAAGAAACAAAACAAAGCAAAACCTGCCCCCAAGTAAGTGGAAGGAATGACACCATGCCCCACAAGACCCTAATTCAATGACATCTGGCTTTAATATAATATTACAACTAAGTTATTAATCCATATGCATTATTGAGACAGACACTGTCCTATGGCTTGTTACCCTAGGGTAGATCAGCGGTTCTGAGACTACACTTTGAGAATGTCTTCACTAACATGTCAGCAGCATTACTAAAACCTCCCTTCTGTTTTAATTCATGAATTTATCCTGTACGTGCAAATCCTGCACAGTACTAGCCTAAGATTATGTGGGAGAAAAAACCCAGTAATGATTTTCAGGAAGCAGGTAATATTCTGGAAAGATTCCCTTAGTCTCATAGTTCTTTGATTAAATACTTTTAACTTAGTTTTTCCCGCCGTGTTTTTGTGTGTTTTATTTTGGATAACTTGGGGACAATTAAGACACAGGATGTTAGCCAGTGCTTATTAAACCTGAAGACTAAACTATGAGCTACACCATCGCCGCATTCCACTTGGCCTCCCTCTGACAGCGCTCGCACCAGCCCTGCTCTGCACATGGTCCTCCTTGAGGTCGTCATTTCCCCACACATGCACACCATGTTCTGCCTTCACGTGGGCTAAGTCAGGTTATGTAAACAGCATTTGGCACTTGCTTTTCATACCCACTGGTTTGCCGACATCAATTAAATTACATCAGATTTAAGATGAAAAGAATTCCTTATAGCCACAGCTTTCGGCAAGCGAATGAAAGCAGGGCCCAAATTGCTGTCCCTCCCACCCTCCTGTAATGTCCCCTAAACCACCAACCATCTTGAGTTTGGACTCCAGCACTGTCATTGGAGAAAGATTTCTGGGGGAAGTTACACCAGAAATTCCAAGGCATGGCTTGGTGTAGGAATGAGTTGTAAGATTCAAAGAACATTTTAACTTGCCCATGAAAAAGAAAAAGCAAGAAACTTTACACACTGACCGGTGTTGGCTCCACTGGTTGGAGCGTCATCCCATGAACCAAAAGGTGGCAGGTTCTGATTCCCCATCAGGACACATACCCAGGTTGCAGGATCAACCCCCAGTGCGGGTGTGTTTGGGAGGCAACCAATTGATGTTCCTCTCTCACATCGATGTTTCTCTCTCTCTCTCTCCCTCTATCTCTCCTCCCTCCCTCCCTCTCTCCCTCCCTCCTCTTTCTGAAATTAATTTAAAGAAAAAGAAACTTACAAACCTTTTCTTTTGCAGTCCAGTGTTTGTATGGGAAACACGTAAATGTGGCAAAGAGAAGAGTCCATCTCAGGCTTGATAACTGGGGGTCTCCCTGACACTTGGGGTTTCGGGTCCAGTTGTTCCTTTTCTTCTTCATTACACAACTCTTCTGATTTTATCTGACGCAGCTTTTTATTTTTTAGTTCTTGTGGGCTTTCGCACTTGGCATAGTTCCCCAAATTTCGGTTCTTTGGGATCTGCAGCATTGAAATAAGCGTCTCTATGTCACAGGTACAGTGCCAGGGGTTGTCGTAAAGGCGCAGGTAGCTCAGGAGAGGTGTGTAAATGAACACTTCTTCGGTCAAGACTTTGATCTGGTTATGCTGCAGTAAGAGCGTGGTGAGTTTGTTTAAACCAAAGAAAGCCTCACTCTCAATTTTGGAGATCTCATTCTGTTGCAGATCCAAGCTTTTCAGCCTTTTGAACTTGGAAAACATGCTGTTCTTCAATATGCGGATCTTGTTTCTTGCTAACAACATGTGCAGCAAATCGTGAGGCCAGTCGGGCAGCACATAAACTAGTTTTCTTTCTTGACAATCTAAGTATTTCTCATGAAGATACGTGTACACTTCGCAGGGGAGGCCCGGTGCGTAGCGTTTGACCGGGCTGGAGCCCCTCCGGCCCCCACCCACCCGGCCAGGATTCGCTCGGCTTCTCACACCCCCAGGGTTTGCCTTGCGGAGCTCAGCGGCTTTACAAAAGAAAAGCAGGATGATGATGGTAACCACGCGCATCCTGACATCCAGCTGGCCCCAATTACTTGGTATGACAGATGGAACAATGAAAGTATTCCTTTGAAATCCAAGTTTGGGTAATCTTAACTAATGCAGATCAGAACAAAGAGATCCAACTGAGGTATGGTAGAATCCCTAGGTTGCAGGAAAAAAAAAACATTAGTTAAGGACATTGTAAGCACCGTTATTGACAAATAGCAGCTTTTTTTCTTTTTTAAAAGCAAGACATTCCAGATAATAAAGGCATATGCAGAGCAGTGGTGTATAAGGCTCTGCACCCTCCAATTGCCTTGTTTAGTGGCTAAATGTTGGAGCCCTGAGCATGAATCAAGGCCCTCCTAGTTGCTCATCTCTGCAACCTCAGGCTAATTACTTCACCTCACCTTCTGCATCTGTAAAATGGGACTGAAGATACCTCTAGTATTGTTGAGAGGATGAAACGGGCTCCTGTGTGTGCCTGGTCCAGGGCAAGCACTACACAGTGTTAGGCTTAGCGCTGTGAAAACCGAAACCTGTAGTTTATTAGCACATTGGATTCAAGAATTAAAGGGTTTCCTCCCTCTTGCAGCCTTGAGATGTGCAAAAAAGAGAGGACTCAATGGCTGTCTTCCCGAGCTTATTCTTTCATTTACTGTCTCCCAACCACCAGTCATGTTGAATGTGGACTCCAGAAGGGTAAACTGAACTGTATCGGTATCCCCGGCTCAAGGTCACCTTCTCAGCAATCACAGCTCTGCTGTATTGGAAGCCACACCCCTTGCCATTCCCGGCTGCTCTCCACCTCTTTCTTGTTTTATTTTTCTCCAGAGCACTTATCACCATCTGTCAAAGCAGATATTTCTTTTGTTTATAATCGTCCCACCCCCTCCCCCCAAACAAAGATGTAAACTTCATCAGGGCAGGGATTTTTGTCTATTTTGTTCACTGTTGTATTTCTGGCACCTGTAGAGTTTCTAGCATGAAGCAGATTCTTGGCAAAAACTTGTTGAATGCATGAATTACTCTCAAGTAACTATTCTATAAAAATCTTAATCTCATAAACTTAGTTATTATATTTGGGAGGCAATCTATTTTTTCCTTAGCCAGCAAGTATTATTGATGACTTCCAAGATCTGCACATATTAAAGAATTGTCTCCATTTTTATATGAAAGAATGGTTTCCATTTTTTTCATCCTGAAAGTGGTTTTGGTTTGCATTTATTACTTAGGACATAGTCCATTCTTGGCAGATGAAGAAATGCTCAAAATGGATTTATAATTAACAACATTTCTGTTGTTATTACTGTGGGGCTATGTGGTTATGAATGGCAGATGTGTTTTCTACTCATTGGCCGTGTGAATGCCAGGATCACTCCCTAGCCTAGAGTTTTCCTTCTTGATGGGTGTCCTCCCCCTTCTTTGCCTCAAGCATTCCTCCTGTGTACTGTTTGTGTTCCTGCTCCTAACTGCTACTCTTTTGTCTCAGATTTGGAGTTTTATTTCCGGTCAGTCTAAACCCCGAGTGTTGACTGTGTGTCACGTTCCTGTCTAGCTCTGTGTGCATGTCTTGTCTTCCTTGCAAGACCATAAGCTGCACAGTTGCCTCTGGTCCCAGGGCTAATCAGACACTTGGCCTTTCTAACCCTCCACTTCTCTAATTGTAATTCATCGCAAACTGTATGTCAATTTAACCTAAAAAAATCATAAATGTTTTGTTAATTACTATACTTGCTGAATTATTTATGACATGCATGCTGGAGTATTTGGAGGAAAGTATGCTGATGTGCAACTTACATTAAAATGCATAAAACATAAGATGGATTGAGGGATAGAGAGATGGATGTACAAGTGGATATGTGATAAAGCAAATGCAATAAGATGTAAATTGTAGCATCTAGGTGGTGGGTATATTTATTGTACAATTCTTTAGTTCTCTCAACATTTTTGTATGCTTGAAATTTTTCATAATAAAATGTTAAAAGGAAACAGAAAACAACAACAAAAAATGAACAAAAAGTCATGCCACAAAAAAGCAGGTTGGTTTTCGTCAGCGCTTTGAAGCCAAAAGCTCTAAATATATGCTGTTTTCCACAAAGTAGTATTTTTCTCTTTTCCGCTTCCTTCTGTAATCCTCAAACAATAATAAACATGTGTATATATTTTAATTTTAAAGCCAAAAGAAATCGTTTTTCTGGGAAAAGAAACCAGTACTTAGAATAAGACTTGCCAAGGTTTTTGTGTCCTAATGAATACATCGCATTGAATGTAGTATGGAAAAACTTTAAGTTTAAACATTTGTAATATGTTGTTTAGTGATATGTCACTTGTTTAATTTAGGCCTCTGTAAAAATTTGCAAGAGCTGAATGTCTCTGACTGCTCAACACTCACGGTGAGTATAAGAAGCTTATTTTACTGTTGTTTACATAGCTTTGGGCTTGCTCTGTTGGAGTGCTAATACACAGAGGTGTTGCCAAAATATATGCCTATGTGCTCATTTAGGATTAAATATGGAAAAAAAGCAAACTATGTTAAACTTTGGCAAGAAATGTTATCCTACTTATATAATGCTGTTATTAACCCTGTAGATATATGTCCAACATTGGAGTCTTTGGAAAGTGGAAACAATTCAACAATTACACAGACATGAACTCTATTTATATTTAAAGCCATGTGTATGTGAGACAGAAAAGTTGGGACACTGCAGAAACAATAGGATCATTGTCATGGTCTTCAAGGTGGCAGTGCCAAAGAAGATGGGAATGAACATGTGAACCCAGCCAACTCTCTCCTGGTCCGGCTCCAGGCTTTCCTCTACCTCCAGTCTGTCTCCCACCCTGTGAGCACACTGATTCTCTCTCTAAAAGGCAGATCTGACTATTTCATTTCCAGTTTCCATAATTTATACACATACTCACCATTTACATTATTGGATAAAGTCAAAGCTCTTTAAAATTACTGTACCTTGGAGACCCTCTGTGGTCTTGCCTCTGCCTCCCTTTCCAGCCTCATCTTGCTCCAAACCCTGCACACACATTGTTTCAGCAACTACAAGCTGCTTTGCTTTCTTTGCTGGCTCGCCAGGCTGCTGCTCACTGCTTTACCTTTGCTCAGGCTGTGCTCTTCGATTGGAATACTCTTTCCCTCAGTCCGCAGGGAAAGCTTAAAGGCTTACTGTAGACACCACCGCCTTTCCCAAGACATCACCGACTCCCAGGGAGGAGTTTGCTGCTGCTCCTCTGGGTTCCTGTCCTAGGTAGCCCTAATCACAGTGGTTCTGCCTCCTCCACAACCCAAGAGGCCCAAAGGGCAGGAGATGTGTCTCATTTTTTTGGGGGTAGTCGTAGCACAGAGCACAGGCCTTGCATAGGAAATACACTATAATACAGAGTGGGGCAGAAGTAGGTTTACAGTTGTGAGTATGTGAAGCACAGAGTTTATTCTTGTAATATTATTTATTAATTATTGTATTACTTTCCACACAAACAACTGTAAACCTACTGTTGCTCCACCCTGAATATGTTTAATGAATGAAACTATGTGGAGATTCTAGTAGGTAATGGACAACATTGACTAGAACTTGAGCTTTCATCTTGGGTTGACACTGATATATGTCATAACTAACATTTCAAAAATAAATAAGATCAACCTAGAGAGGGAAAGGGAAAGGGAGAGGGAGAGGGCGTGCATGGATGAGAAGAGGACTTAGAATTGAACCATGGGGAATGCTTACTTTTAGGAGCAGTCAGAGAAGAAACAGTGAAGGCTTTTAAGAAGGAATATAAGAGAAGTAGGTTGAGAATAGAGAGGTATCACAAAAGGCAAGAGAGTGAAGAGTTTCAGAAGGAAGTTACCAACTGAGCAAGGCCTCCTAGATTTGAAAATAGAAAGTGACTGGAGGCTTTTGCTAGAACAGTTTCCATAGAATAGTGGAGGCAGAAATCTAATTGTAGTGAATTGCAAAGTGGACAAGAGGTGAGAAAATGAGGCATTAGGTATAAACCTATTGTTCCAGGACAGTGACTAAGGGAGTGGCAGAAGAACACAGAGGCAGGCAACCTGTTTTAGGTTTATAGAAGCTGGAGGAAACTCACTTGAAGCAATGAACAGAGCAAGTTCCTGAGGAGACAGGAGGGACTAGAATGAGGGGCCTGATGGTGTGGTGCCCTCATTAAGCACCAGCTCCAGGATGGATCCACGCCCCTGGGCAGAGGTGAGGAGATGTCATGAATTGGCTCCTCCTTGCTGCCTCCCCAGTCTCATCATCATCATTCTTTCTCTTAATTTTCTACTCTACTTCATTCATTCTGTTAATATAGTTTTAATTTATCTTTATTGTTGAAAGTATTACAGATGTCCCCCCCCCATTGACCCCTTCTAGCCTATAACTGCCCCCTGCCCCAGGCCTTCACCATACTATTGTCTGTGTCCATAAGTTATGCATATATGCACACAAGTTCTTTGGCTGATCACCTCCCACCCACCACCATTCACCCCTACCTTCCCTCTGAGCTTTCTGTGGATACTTTTAGTACCTACTATGTTAATAATATATAGGGTGTCCCAAAATATGAACACATGTACTTTGAATAATTATAAAGGCAGAGTTTATTAAAATACATTTTATCTTAAAAATGGAGCTATCAGCTGTTAAAGTTTGTATACATTTTTCTGTATTTATCTCTATCTATATAAAGATATATAGGGAATTTATTATTTACTATTAGTGTTATAGGGATTTAAAAATGAATCAAGTTTTAGTTCTTGCCTTCAGGGACATTCAGTTCTGCACTTAACATCATATTCTTTAAATTTGGCTTTCTAATAGGAAAGTCAAAACAATGCCACCTGCATTGAATTTGTAAACATCAAAATATGTTCCAGTTTTGGAGTCTAATAATATACAGGGAGGACCATTTTATCCAATTACATTTCATTATTGTTTTTCCCTTTGAGACATACTGGAAGACGAGTTTACATTTAAGGAGTTGAGTACCATTCATTCAAAAAGCTTTAATTTCTAAGGAGCTTGCCTTAAGAATATATTACCTTGAGAAATGTTTGAGTGCATTGTGGACAAATTCATAAGCCATTCTGCAATGTAGACACTCAAACAGTTCTTACATTTCTGTGTTCTAACATCTGGGGTTTGAACTTA